CAAGAATAGGAAATCCAGGAGTAAAGATCCATCTTCCAGAATTTACTGGAATTTGATGTGTAATAGTTGTGGGATTTCAAATTAGTAAAGAAAAGACAGACTGTTTGATTAATGTTATAAGGAACAATGGGATAGTCTCCAGAGGGAGGCCGTTTAATCCGTATATCCTACACATATTCTATGCAAGGTAAATTAAACATAAAAGTTGTTGARTAAATTTTAAAAAAACCTTTTAGTGAGAAAAGTTATTTAAAAGGGGACAGTAAACCCAATTGTCTTAAAGCAGAAGACTAAAATGTGTAAATACACAAAGTGAACATTTATTACACTGAAATACATTATATGGAAAATTTTAAAAATTCACGATTGAAATATGAATTCTAGGTTTTCTTAATTCCCCTTCACAGACTTTCATAAGAAAAAATCTTTCTAAGATTCTCTTATGAAAGAGAATTTTCTTCAAGAGAAAGAACTGTAGTGTAGTGTTGTTCCACTGAATGAAAAGTCAACCATTTGTTTAACCCACTCTCCTTTGATGACGTGTTGGCTTTCTCTTTGATGAGAAGGACATGGGAGTACCATTCTGTAATTCCTAAATGATGTATTGCTTTCATTCTCTTATGAACAAAGCTGCTGTGAACCTTCTGGTCAAGACTTTGGGTAGACATCCACATTTCTTTGCATACACCTGGGATTAGAACTGCTGAGTTATGAAACAGGCACATGTCTGATGTTAGAAGAAATCATCAAGCAGTCTTTCTATTCACACCAAACACTTCCAAGAACTATGAATCCCTAAATTTAGGATTAAAAAGGAATCCACAAGCCTTCCCCATTCATCACRCTCAATGGCAATACATGGGAAGTATTCCCCTTAAAGACAAAAATGACCATTATTACCATTTCTATTCAATACTGTCTCAGAAGGTATCACATAATAAACATAAATAAAATATGTGAAGATTATAAAAGATTAAAATGTATTATTTTCAGATTATTTGAGTATCTTAGTGGAAAATCCAGTGACTCTAAAATAAAATAGGAACTCTGTGATGTGACTGGATAAAAGATTAATGTAAAAAACTGCATACTTACATAACAACCCACTAGAAAACGCTATTTTAAATCATCCCATCTACAGCAACAGCAGGAACTAAGAGGTGCCTGGTACATATAATTTTTATGGGGGGAAAAAATCACAAAACACTGCAGTACACCATAAAAGAAGAACTAAACAAATGAAGAAATCTAGCACATTCTTGGGGCAAGACTTCATATCATAAAAATAGGTATTCTTCCCAAATTAACCTATAAATTGAAGGCTGTGCTCACCAAAATACCATTAGAACCTCCACCCATCTTGACAAAAGAAACAAAAGGACAATTTTAAATAAGAATAAGGAGAACGGCTGGTTCATGTGACAAAGATGTTCCCTGTAGTACTGTGTGTACTTGCAAATATGAGAAACAACCCAAATGCTAATCTACATGAGATTGGGTGAATAATCTGAGATTATTCACACGCGAAGATATGATATAGCAGTTAAAACAAATGTCCTGGTACTCATATCAATATGGAAAATCTAGAAAATCTAATGTAGAACTGTGAAATCAAGTTAAAGTACATGCACATTACCATAGCATTCACAGAAATTGAAAAACAGAAAGAAAACAAAAACAACCTCTAACCAACCAACATGTTTGCCGTAAGTGTGTGTTAGGCAGCTTTGAGATGCTCCCAAAGAACSCCGCTTCCTGGTGCCTAACCTGTGCAGTCCTCTCCCACACACAATAGGGTTGCTGGCCAATAGTGGGGGTGRAAGTGATGGCATGTCACCACTGAGATTAGGTCATAAAAGGACTGTTTCCACCTTGGGCGTCCAGGTGCACACCTTGGATCACAGGTGCCCTGTCTTGAGAACATTCATGGTGAGGAATGGGGGCTCCTGCCAATCACCGTGTGAGTGAGCCTGGAAGCAGCATCTGCCAACGTCACAACTGCAGCTCGTGAGAGGAAACCCTGAGTGGGAACCAGCCAGCCCAGCACACTTCCCTTCCTGAACCTCAGAACTGTGCAAGAAACGGTGATAAGGAACTGATAAGTCTTGGGGAAAATCATTATGCAGTATATATTCATATATAATGTAAAGTRCTTATATATCTAGTAAAATGGTAAATGTGTAGCAATTATATTTATCAATTTCAGGATAAAGGGTAACTCTGGGGAAGGTGTGGGAATGAGGTATTGGCTTTGCTTTTTTTAAAAATTTCTTCACATTTTTGAAGAACATCTGTCACAGGGTCAACATGTTAAATCTGGATGCTCCACAAGTGTGCCCGAGGTGTGTGGGGGTCAACCTTCTGTATATGTGGGTTCTTCCTCTGTGGAGTCAACCAACACAGATTAAAAATATTTGAAATGAATCGAGTCTGGACTGACCAGGTACAGACTTCTCACCATTGTTCCCTACGCAGTGCAGCACAACAACCACTTATGTGGACTGACACTGTACCAAGAAAGGATGGTTTAGAACATACGAGAGTGTGTGTTCAGGTTCTGGGCAACGGTACACCAAGGGACTGGAGTGCCCACGGGCTGTGGCATCCTGCAGCGGTCCAGGGCTAATCCCCCACAGACACTGTCATTTCCTGACATTTAAAACATCTATCTACTCCTTAAACATTTTATAATTGAAAATGAAGGATTTTAAAAAAGAAAGGCAGGATAACCATTCCATTTATTAGAGCTCTATAGAGCACCAACAGCTCCTGTRATTGCAGCCCTGAGGGATGCAATTACTTTAATGGCTAAGTAATTTGCATTGAAGAGGGGACATACATCAGGGTATATTCCCACAGCCAGCATAATCAAATGTTTAAGTGCCAAAACCTTCAATCCACTTTAAAAAAGCAACAACACCAAAAATCTTATGTAAGAGCACCTAACAAATAATTCAGGAGAAAARCAGGAAACAATGTGGTCCTGCCCAGAGACACTCCATATTAAGCCATTTCCAACAGCAATTCACTTGGGAAACTCACCACCGCTCCACTCCGAGGTATTCAGCAAAGTGGACGTGAGGACAGCTGTTGCCCAGTATCCGTATTTAACGAGAGAACAGAAATGGTGTGCAAAACTGCTTTAGTTCTTAAGATTCCCTCAGTCAAAAAGAAGTAAATTATTCACAGTTGTTAAAWATGGTGGCATTTCGGGCCGTGTGGTCCCACTCACCCCCACACTCAGCGACACTCACTCAGTGGCAGCCTAACAGGCAGAAGTTAATGCACATGGAAAAGTGGACATCTGATCTCAAGGGTGGAAAACACGGCCAATATCAAGGACTTCAGGTCTGCTCACCTGCACCAAGTCGATTAAGTGTGCATTGACACCTAGCAAGGTGCCCCGCCAGGTACCCAYGTGTCCCAGGCTGGGGGTTTATCATACAGAATATGAGCTGGCCTATCAGTCCAAAGGTAGCTTTTCCTTTTAATACCGCTCTTCTTGGGGCTGGGGTTGTGGCTCAGTGGTAGAGCACCTGCCTCACACACATGAGGCACTGGGATTGATCCTCAGCACCACAGAAAAAGACATAAAGAAAGATTGTATCCATCTACAACTTAAAATTTTTTTAAAAAAAATATTGCTCTTCTTCCATTCCCCAAATTGTTGAGCACTTTGAGAAACACTGGTGTGCAGTCAGAGGATGGGAAGAACCACTCCCCTGCTCCAGTGACCAGGTTCAGACTGTGGTTTAGGTATCAAAACCCAAACTCCCTCCCTRGCAACTCTGCTGTGATCCTGTGGCATTTACCTTCCTGGCCTCTCCACGTGCTTCAGCTGGACTGGAACAGAGTGAAGGTGCCTATGARGCTCCTGGGGGCCGGTCCAGCATCCCTCCCTGTCCCTCAGCTCTGTCTCATGATTAAGGCTTTTCCCCATTAAGTCAAATTTCCTTTCCCTCCACGACACAGAGATCTCATACTTCACTCTGAGCCCGTCTTTGCCTCTTCTGCTCCTCTCTGTTGTCAGTTGTGGTTCAACCCCAGGGATCTACCATTCCTCTCTCCCTCGGCATCTAACCAGCACAACATCAGCATTTCACTCTGTCTCTGACTCCAAGGCCAAGGCAGACCCGATTTATTCAGCCCTTTGAACTCCAGGTCTGATACGCTGCAGCCATCCTGGCCACCTACCTGGGCAGACTGTCCGTCCATGAGTTTCCGGCAGCTCAACTGCGTGCTGGCTCCTTTGGCTGGCCTCCTCCTGGCCAGCCTGGACTGCTAGCCGCTAGTGCCCCATCCGCCCTAAAGCCAGGTGCTGCCTGAACTCCCCGTCAGAGCAGCCTGCTCAGCTTTCATAGAAAGATCTGCCAGTCCTCAAGCTAGACTCTGCAGAGCAACTCGCTGGGTTGCCCCACACCACCCTTCAAATAAGTTTCACAAGAAAAATGGGCTCCTTGGTCTTACTATTTTAGGATTTTGAGAAAAAGCAGTGATAGGTATTTATTTCTTATTTCATAATGAGGATTGTGTTGAGGGAAGAATATACACAGCTTGTATATGAATGTTCTTCTTTATGTTCCTTTAACTGTCAAAGACCTGTAATTCAGGGCCTGGGCGCATATGGTTCAGTGGCAGAGCATGGGCTTAGCAAGTGTGAGGCCCTGGGTTTCATAGGCAGCACCCCAAAAATAAAACACAAAACCTTGGGACTCCACACCAAGGCCCCAGGGCGGATATGTATTCTGGGTGCATGGCCACTCTCACCTGACCTGARAGGTAACTATAGTGACTCTCAGTTACTGAGCACTTGCCCTGTGCTCAGCACAGGGCTAACACTGGACATGGATTATTTCACTGCATCTTCCCAACAACCCTGCCACCCATTCTGCTCTCTGGGTGAGACCTGGTGACCAAGGACAGGCTTGACCTGCYCTGCAGCCCTGCTTCCCAGCTGGTGCCCTTACACCAAGTGCCCGCTTAACATGAGGAGGGCTCACCTGCGCACGGGCTGGCAGCAAAGCCCACCCTCTTGTGCGCTCTGTCGAAGACCACGTAGAAGCCTTCCATCACGGTGGCACCGATCACCAGCGCGTTGGTGGAGGAGGAGATGCCGAATCGGTAGCATTCRTAGTTCAGGCCAGCCCCCATCATGGGCTGGATGTACAGCTGTGGGGGAAGAGGAGAGGGAAGAAGAAGAAACAGCACCAGTCGGACGACGTCACAAAACAGTGATGGTCACCGTAGGCTTGGAGGCCCCCCTGGTGAAGGGGAGCCACAGAGAGACAGATGGCAGCATAGTCCCTGCCCCCAGGAGACAAGATCAAAAGCACAGTGACATCCATGCTTATGGAAAGGGACAGAAACACGAGGAGACACACACGTCACCTGTAACTTACAYAGGCACGTGCTTACAGAAGGAGTCTGTCTGTCTGTCTAATCAGACCAACATGGAGAGGGGGGGCCTCACTGCACTTCCCATGTGCAGGGAAGGTAAGGAGAGGCCCCCCGAGGCAGGAGGTGACTGTCCTCAGGGTCGTCTGTAGGTGGACATCCCGTGGCTGCTGTTCTGGGGAACCGCCCTGCAGTATGGCCCTGTCATTGTTGGACTGTCTGTCTGCAGACCCTGGCTCAGGGCCACAGGAACCACACCTCCTTCCTAGATGTCACCACCTTGGCAGAGGGTGACTCCGTGGCTGTGTTGAGTGAACGATGGTGCTGAGCCTGACCGAGTCCAAGGACACTGATCTATAGATGCGACCAAGCAGCTCCCTAACACCGAACTTGGATCTTTTACTCGGTCCTTTCTGCATATGTCTCAGTGGATTTTTCCAAGCCATACACCTTGTAATATTGGGAAGCTTCAGTCTTGCTGGATCTCRGAATAAACTGTCTGCCCTAAACTAAAATGGCACAAATAGAAAAACGAGTGGTATTTAGGCTGAAAGTAAGTACATTTYTAAGGTTATGTTAAAAAAAAAATCAGAATTGCCCTGTCGGCTGACACTAAAGTATGCTATTATTTTTTTTTATTTTATTGGTGCATTACGATTATACATAATAGCAAGATTTATTATGCCCTATTTGCACACATATCATAGATATAACCTGACTCTGCTGCACTGGTGGTCATCTGCCTGCCTATGATTGCTGAGGCCTGAAAGCCCCACCCTGAACCTTTGTGGCAAGAAGCCCTGAGGATGCCCTGGGTGTCAGTACAGGGGCTGGCTGGGCAGGGCCAGCTGCTCAGGGGTGACTCCCCACGTAATCCCTGATGGGCACAGCAGCAAAGGGAGCTTCCTCCCCCAGCAAGGAGGGGGACCAAAGGAATAGTGAGTGACTTGAATGAGAACCCAGGACAGCAGCAGGGAAAACAGATCTGTACATGAAAATGTGAGTGGGTCAAGGTCAACCCCCAAAGTCTCCCATCTCCAAGAGGGAGTCACGGTGAATTCTCACGAGGACACAGCAAGGGCTCCTTCATGATAGTCCTTTGTGGTYCGAAGCTTGGTCCTCATGGCAGCTTCCCCACTAGCTTCAGCTCTTGTGGCCAGGAGGTGCCGTGGACAGAGAGCTCTCTGCCTGCCTGCGCTCCCCACAGCTGCTTCTCCCGGGTCCTGGGCTCTGTCAATCAACCCTCATGCCCTTATTTACCACTTCTTGCTCACCTTTGTCCTCAGGCTGGCTTTGGACACTGGCTACAAACCACACTGATGAGACAGTGTCCACGTATTGCAGTTTGACTGACCAGTTGTTATAAACAACACATTATTTTAAAGATGCTGAAAATCAATCTTTCTAACAGCTGTCTATGCAGGGCGCTCACCCAAGGTTATCTGGAAATGCCTTTGGTAGGCGTTACTCCCTCTCCTTCACAGTGAGAAAGAAGGGCCGAGCCACCTGCTCCAAGTTACTCGGGATTCAAGGGTGGTGCTGACGGTGTCACTTAAGCCCCCTGCCTGGCCTGTATGTCCTCTGCTGAGCTGCTCACCTGTGGCTTTCTGTCCTGCCTCCCAGGACCCCGGGATCTGAACACAGGAACAAGTGGTATTGCTTTCTCCTTCAGAAGTCAGTCTCCTCCYGATTCTCCAGTCCCAGCCCTTTATCTCCCGTACACAGATCACAACGGGGACACACTCCTGTGTCAGCCAGCAAGCACCTTCCCTCTGCTGCCTGCCAGTGTCCAGAGGGAGGCCGTCTCTAAACCTCAAGGTGCTCATCTTCATCCCCCAGGAATTAATAATCAACAGAGRGGAGACACAAGATGACTTTTACAAAGAAAACAGAAGTCAAATGGAAAGAGGAAACAGCACAGAAWACATCCTAAATAGATGGCCGCACCCCCGAGGAGTGGACTGGCAAACATGCAGCATGCTTTGAAGGGCAAGATCACAAACGGGTGATTCTGTTCAGCGAGTCTCAACAAAAGCCGGGCTTGTTTGAGCTGGGTCTTAGAAGACGGGAGGAATCTGCACACACGGAGGAGGAGAGATAGGCTCCCAGGGCCGGCGCTGGTGGAACTCGGGCCAGGAGATGGGAGAGGCTGAGGCACCCCATGAGGGCCGGGGTGGTGGGAATCGGCTGCAGAGGAGGAACCAGCCTGCTGGGGGAGCTGGTGGTGAGAGGATCTGGGCTAGGGCTGTGGGTCTGGGGAGGGGTTGAGGGATGCTGTCTACTCAGGCTCTCAAGACAAAGGAGTCTGTCTGTGGCTACTGGAATCACAGTAAAAAATAATGGTGCCTCCATCGCCGAATAAAATGGTGTGTGGCACATGTTACAGAAGTGCTACCCTTCTTCATGGCCACCTCCACAAGGTGTCTCCGTGGCTCCTCCTACTATGAGGGGTCTGATGACCTTGGGGTCCTTTGGAGGGTATAGCAGAGGAGAGGGCTGCCAGTTCTGAGCCCAGAGGTCAGGGGTCACAGCAGGGATCCTCTCCTTAGAACCCAGTTGCAATGTCAAAGTCAGGTATGGAAGGCAGAAAGACACATGGACCCACCATGCTGCCCACCTGGCCCCCAGACTATGCTTAAGGCTACCCTCCAGCCCCCTGTTCTGGGGCCAAGGAAGCCCAGCGCCCGCTACTGACCAGAGACAGGTGAGCCAGCATGGCGGAGACCAGCAGACCTGGGGGCTCAGCACCAGTGTGTGCCTGGGGGACAAGGCTGTCCAGTGGGGGGTGTGGCACCTGTAATGCCCGGGCCTCTGCACAGAGCCCCGGGTTCTGCTCCTTCCTGTAGGAAACACAGAGGGAGCAGAGGTTCGCGTAGGTACCTGAGGCAGGATGGTGATGCGGAAGGATCGGCTGGAGTTCTCCTCCCTCAGGTAGATGGAGATCTTAGGGAAGTAGGACCACGGCGTTTCAGAATTCGCCCAGCACGCCAGCTGGGCCCCGCTCCAGAACCCGTCAGAAAATTCTGGAATCTAGACAAAACAAGATCCTGTGAGAAACAGGGAGCARTCTCGCCGCCGCGCGTCAACAGGAAACAGTGCCCGGCTTGCCTGGTCCCCTCGCCAGACGCCCACGGCACAAACAGCATTTCATGTGGACAGAGTGGCAGGGACTCCAGCCCCTTGGGGGTGTTGGTAACAATGAAATGATAATCGTAAAAGCTGCTCAGACTCACGGAGCGCTCTTGAGCGGGAGCACTGGGCTGATGCAGCGGTAGCGACTTGGCCTGCAGCCCCAGCCAGGTGGCCACTGGACCCCTTCACTTGGCAGATGAGGCAACCAAAGCACAGAGAGGGGCCGGAACTGCCCCAGGCCACACGGTGGTGGGTGGCAGCCCCTTAGAAGAGAGAAACCCTACTGTGACCCTCAGGGCCCTTTTGGGTGTTGCTGCCCTCTGGATTCCTGACTCCTGCGAGGGCTRGGACCTCGCAGTCCTCCAGATCTTGGCTCGGGTGCCACCTTGTCCCTGATCCTCACGGAGAGCCCACGGCCCCCACCGCACACCTCTCCTGCAGCCTTCCTCCCCGAGGCCCTGAGCCCCGGACACTTCCTGGTGTGGGGCAGCTCTGCTTCCACCCCAGAGCCTAAGCCCTCTCTCCCTGGTCCCCTGAAGTCCTGACGCCTGCGAATGGATGAGGCTCAGGGGTTGGGGGAATGAAGGTACCCAGGGACATCAACATGGCCACCAGCTCAGGGCRCCCCCTTGTGCCTCACTGGGAGCGGGAGGGGCGGAGCCAGGCCCACCTGTGYGGATCCTGCAGGTTCCTGACCCCTGTGTCTCTCCCAGCAGCCTCCCCAGCAGCCTCCCCTCCTCCACCTGGGGCAGGACCAGCACACCCGACTTGTGTTGAGGCAGAGGTAGGAGAGGACAGAGGGAGTGAGGAGGGATGTCTGTCCAGGGAGCTGAGTATGAGCTCTGGGCCAGGTGGACACACCCGGGAGGGGCGGCAGGTGGGAGCCACAGCTGGAGTCCTCACCGCTCAGGGAGGAGAGTTTAGGGAAGGAGGACCGAGGTGAGCACATGCAGGCACCTCACCCCACCCCAGACCCCCCCGGAATACAGACCCACCCAACACTAACTCAGCATCCCAAGGACCCAAGCCTAGGGACAGGGCCCAGTGTTTTTATTTCCTTTAACTCTCTGAATCCAGCCCTCTCCTCACTAGAGAGGAGACAAGGCAGCAGAGCCGGGAACAGGCACCTAGCAGGGGGAGGAGCGGCGGTCCTTGGGCCCGAGCCTCCAGGACGACGATGCACGCTGTGGACTCTCTGCCCGATGGCGCGGAATGAAATCAGAGGATAATTTTAGACAAGGCAAGCAGATGCCGTCAGCTCACTCCTTCTCCCCAAGTCAGTGGCTGCTGAGCACGCGCTGCGTGCTCTCAGGAGGCTCGCGCCCCAGGCCCACAGAGCCCAGGCAGTGGGATGCCTGCTGTGGCCACCCACCGACCCTTCACACTCACCCYGGGGACACTGGTAAACATCAACCATTCAGAGCGCCCAGCCTGAGGGGACCCATGACGGTTCCGCAGGCACGTTCTTGCTGTCTAGGAAACGGGCACAGCCCTCCTGATTTAAGGTGGGTCTCGGGTCCCACAAGCTTCCTGGCTTCTCAGCACTAAAGCCCTGACGTGGCGTTTCTGGATCCCGCGGATGCTGAGCAAGCTGGGCATGGGCTCTGGTCCCCACTGCAGCTGCCAGGATGCCCCGCCCCYGCCGAGTCACACCAGGCTCCACGTCCTCCCCTCGTCCTTTCTTGCCGTTTCCCTCGTGTCCTGTGGACTCGCTGCTCTTCCCATGCAGCTTTAGACTTTGGAAGTTTTGGTTCAGGACAATTGGACCCCCTCTTGCTCCCCACGTTTCTGCTATAAGCTCCAACAAAGTGACAGTTATGCATCTTCTTATCAGTCCATCCTGGTTCCATGGCGGGACACCAGCCCCACGTGACCACCAGCACACCGGCTTGGCATGGAAATGCTCACTTTTGGTGATCTTGCAAAGACGGCCTCAAGTGCGCAGATGCCACAAAAAACACCTACAAGGTCAGAAGCGGTGTCCACACAAGTCGTGGTGGTGCCTCGTTGGGCGTTTCACGGAAGCTCTCTCTACCAAGCTCGGGCCGTTTCACCCAAACTCCCTCAACAGCCCCAGAGAGGAGAAGGCGGAGGCTCTCTGAGGGCAGCTCTCTCCAGGCACCCAGCCGCTGAGTGGCAGAGGCCGGACCCCACCAGATTCCGCTGGACCCCAGTGCTATGTTCTGTCCGGTGCTTTTTGGCCCACCCTGATATCCTGACTGTCCAGACAATCGGGGTGACACTGAAAGTTCTAGCATCCAGGTCCCAAATTTAACTGCCCTGCAGAGCCCGGCCATGAAATGATCACTAGTTTGGCCAACTGACCTTTGTCCTCTGTGAAACAAGCCATTCTTCCCCCAGAAGTGGGGGGTGAGATGCCAGCACACGGTGGGCGAAGGCCAAAGAGGGGTGATGTTCAGGGCTATCTGTCCTGGCTTAAAGGCCACACAGGCACCCTCGATTCACCGTCACTTTAACATGCAGTCATGCACCCAGTGACAACGTCCCAGCCAACAACAGCCTGCACCTACGAGGGAGGTCCCGGGAACCACTTCGGAGCTGCCTCCAAGTGACAGTGTGGTCAGCGTGGCCACCGTGCAACGTTTTACTTCTCCCACGTTGGTGCTGAAGCTGGGGTACACCCCCGTCCTATGAAAGCACATGATACTGATAACAGTAAGAAATGACCGTGTACAGGAGCCGCCTCGCAGGGCACGCGGCCACTGTGCTCCTGACTGCCCTGCGCCACCAGGCTCCTCTAGGTACGCGCTACTGCGTCCGCCCAGCCCAGCGAGGCATCTCTCAGAGCACATTCTGTCCTCAAGCCACAGGGGACTGCGGTAGTGTCACGAGTACTGCACCCGCTGCCCTGCGATGGAAACCCCAGACAGAGTCGACCATTCCGGGCCAGCTCCTCGGGGTCAACACAAAGGCGTTACTTACTGGCCAACATCAAGCAGAACGGGAACTTTGTAATAATAGGTTTTAAGAGTCCACCCTTCAAAGCCTTCAGCGCACACAGAGTGATAGCTCTGTCACCGTGCTGCTAGACTCTGTCACAGTGCTACTCCGGGCGTGTGATCAGCACCCAGTGCCCCTGGTGCTGCACGAGCCTGCGGGACTCACCATGGATGTGCAGGACTCACCATGGACATGCAGGACTCACCATGGACATGCAGGACTCACCATGGACGTGCGGGCCACGGCCTCCACCACCGCGTCGAACACCTTCTGGGGCAGGCGCAGCAGCGTGGTGCCGCTGTCCACGATGGCCTTGTCCGCGTTGTACTAGAAGGGAGGGGGCATCCGCATCAGGGCACGCTCCCACCAGCATGGCTGGACCTGCCACATAGAGAAGCCCCATGCCCTCTCCCAGGACCCCCGACCCAGCACAGAGGGAACCCCTTACTTTAGAGGCTGAYGTGACTTATTAAGGCCACTTCTGCAAGCTGCACAGATCAACTTTCTACTACCTACTYGTGGGCGAGGAGGACCACCCCCCCATATACGCCATGTTCACATTTGAGAGGAGACGGACAGGACAGGACACCCATGGTGGGCACTGCTGTTGTTTGTGTTTGGAGTGCCCCGAGGCCCACCTGTGAAAGGCRCCCTTGGCAGGTGATGGGAAGTTTAAGAGGTGGCACTTGCAGGAGACACAGGTGACTGGGGTGTGACCTTGCAGGGGATTGTGGGRCCYTRGTCTCTTCCTGRCACCCTGCTTCCCAGCTTCCTCTGTTAAATACTCCCACCATAATGTGCTGCATCCCCACAGGCCCGGAAGCAACCGGGCAGTCGGTCATGGACTGGAATCTCCAACCTGTGAGTCAAAATCAACCTTTCCTCTTTTTAAGTTGGTCACCTCAGTTACTGTCATGGGAAACTTACACACACACACACACACACACACGCACACACACACACACACACGTGGCAGCCAGCCCTATCCCCACTGTCACATTCTTGATGTGACAAGAGGAGAAAGGGGATCAGTGGGCCAACCACAGAGAGGCCACTACATCCACTGGGGACCCAGCTGAGTGCAGCTGCCTGGGAAAGGAGGAGGCATGGCCAATTTGCCCTCCTACTTTACACAAGTCTGTGACTCCCATGGCCAGACATGCCAGTGAGGTCAAAGGAAGTGAGCAGGAGGAGTGAAGAATCTGGAGAAAATGAAACGAACCGACTTATTAATATTATTTTCAAACACTTATTTTCARTTTAAAAACTAATGTGAAAGTCAACTCTGCTTGCTCCTAAAACTATATGTTTTTGTACCTGTATGAAGAGTGGATACATGACAGTCCTGTAGGAGGCTGAAATGTGGCATGGCTGGGCGTTGTCACTTGCTCTTTTGAGGGATGGCAGCATGTAGGGCCCGCAGGACAGAGCCCAGGCCTAGGAATCCAGCCTCAAGATAGGTGCTGTGTGCTCTCTCCCTCTCTCTCTCTCTCTCTCTCTCTCTCTCTCTCTCTCTCTCTCTCTCACACACACACACACACACACATACACGCCTGCATATGGGTCCGTCGGTGAATTGCTAAGTGTGAATAAGTGCCTCTGACATGAACACAGATTTAGGGCTGGGACTGAAACACGGTCACAACAAAACACAGTTGTGTGAGCCTTGGTCCCGGGGAGTCTGCACGTGAGCACGGGTGGGGGAAGGGCAGGGAGCCTGGCGGGCAGGAGCACAGGAGCCACGGGGTCTTTCACAGGCCATGCTGAAAGGCCACAGCGCTCAGGATGTCACACATGCCACGAAAAAAGCCACAGAGCAGTAGAGGGTGCTACACAGAGTCACAGCTGTGTGTCCCTGGGCCTGTCGCGCCTGCCTCGCGCCCCAGCAGGCAGGCTCTTCCTTGAGCAGGAGCTGTGAGCTCAGGGGGGCAGGGCTCGGCCACACAGGGCAGATGAAGTATATGGCTTCTGGGGGTTCGGTTTGGCTGAGTTCTGTCCCCTCCGTCCCCCTTCTGATAACAATCTGCTTGTTTCATCCTCCACAGTGGAGGTCAGGGACCCTCAGGTCAAGGCACGTGCAGAAGGGTATAGTTGGCTCTGGGGCTCTTCACTCCCTGCCTTGTGCTCGCTTTGCCCCATTAAGCCAGGGGGTCTTGGGGGCTGGAATTCATGCACTAAATTACCATCCACGAGGCCCTGTGTCTTTTCCCATAAGAATCTCCGGAACTAGCCTGTGACATAAGGCACCTTCTGACTTCCTGTGCAGGTTCCAGCTGTGAACGCTGAAGCACACCAGGCCCAGGCCCCAGACAGGCACGACAGAGTGGCGGGTGCTCACCTCTTTGCAGTCCAGATTAAGGCTCTGGCCTCCGATTTCCAATTTCAGAATTTCTATCTGATAATACCACTCCTCCTTTATGGGGGTATACCAGATGTCTCCYGTATACAGACTGGGTTCAATTCCACCCAGGACCTGGGGAGGAAAGTACAGGTGTAAGAGGAAGAGCACAGCCAACAGTWTCCACCTAGAAGCCCTCGCTCATGGGTGAAGCCTCACTGGAATTAGCACTTGTTCTTTATTGTGACGTTGGGAAGCAAATACTGATGCTTCAAAGTTAAACGGGGAATGTCTGAGGACCATAACTGCAAGGTCACACGGAGCCATGCYCTGGTGTAACCAAGACCCCTTGGCAGGGTCCTTATCTAAGGAAAGCACACACGACTCCAGCTTCACAGCATTGAGACCCCCACCCCAAACAGATGCAATAAAATACCTAGCTGCCCTGATGGATGGCAACGAGTCCCCTGGAGGGCAGGGACCAGGAAGGCAGAGCACAGGGGCGTCCTCAGTCACAGCATCAGGCTGCAAGTGCGAGGCTACCCTGTCCCCTGGGAGCAGGGAAAGAAGCGCTGGGAAGCTGGGTGCAGTGGTGCACACCTGTAATCCCAGAGACTCAGRAGACTGAGACAGGAGGGTCACAAGTTCAAGACCAACCTCAGCAACTTAGCAAAACCTTGTCTCAAAAAATAAAAAGGAGGGTATAGCTGGGGACACAGCTCAGTGGTAGAGAAACCCTGAGTTCAACTCTTACTTTACACAAGAAAAAAAAAAAGACAAGAGAGGAATATTGGGAGCTGGTGACCATCAGCCAATGACAGTGGCTGGGATGGGTGCTGAGCATGCCTCTCAGGGTCAGGGCAGAGAGGGTGGCCAGCTCTCCCCGAGATGGACCCTCCTTGTGCATCTTCCTGTCCCCTGTACTCTAGATGTCTGGGTGCAGGGTCCCCCAAGGGAAGTTCTGGCTACTATATATCTATGTGGCTGATAGTCTGGATTGTGTTTCCATAGAAAACACCTGCTCCCTGTGCTGTGTGCACATGTTCCTGTCTCCCAGGGAGTGCATGGCCCCCACCTACAGTAGACCCAGCTGCCACCTCCCCTCTGCTCCTCTGTGCCTTTCCTCTCCCTGAAAGCAGTGTGCTTTCAAAGGTCAATAAGGACAGAGTGAGTGGGATCTGGAGGTGCATATTTCTAGATGGTGGCATGATTAGGAAGGATAAAATCATACCCAAGCTTATCCATTTTTAAAAGCTTCTATAACAAAGAGTATCACAATGTTATAGTACCTGTGTGTGCCTAGGTGTCTAAAATTTCTCATCTAGTTTTTAGTAAAGCTGAAATAACCCCATAAATTTGTGATTTTTTTTTCATCCCTTTAAGACTAAAAGATACCCACAAGACTACCTCCGTTGGTACCAGATCCAGCAATTGGCAGTCCCGCCCCACACATCTGCATGGAGAAGACGTTGGGGATCTTTGCTTGAGTCACCAGGGAATCGAAGAAGGTCTTCAGAGAGCTTGATGGCTGAGGAGGGTGAAAAGAAGGACAGGGCTTCACGGTGGAGTCACGGTGGAGGCGAGGGCCGCCCAGTGTGGACACCCAGCACGGTCCACGGTTCTTTGGGTCTTTCAAATTTGGAGTTTTCCAGCTAAACCACAAACATGCCTGTGATCAGGTGCGGAGACCCCCCGTGGCGCTTGCGCCTGTGTGGCACGCGCCTTCTGGAAGAGCTCTGCTGTGAAGGAAGACAGCGCTTCTGGGAGTGGCGCACACACCYTCGGGTTGCTCRCCKCGGCCTCCAGAGGGGGGCRTGTGTCCACGTGGAGGTGGGTCACGAGGAGGAAGTGGAGTTAGACACTGGAGGGTGGCAGGGAACAGTGTCTCCAGGAGTTACTGCAGCTGCTGAAGCTTGGCCCACCTCYCAGCAACTGCCCTGCATCAAGTGACTGGTGACTGGTCCACCAGGCAGCGAGTCCCCGGCCCAGGCCCGGCCAGCTGGACTCTGGCAGCATCAGGAGAGTGTCCGTGAGCCTCAGAGTTGACAAGRCTGGTGACTGAGGGAAAGGGGAGGTGCTGGGGAGCGAAACTGGCCAAACTATGCTCACACCCGAGTAGGTGACAGGGAAACCCACTCTGAGGTRCAATTACCATGCAGCAATTAGAAAAGGACCTAGAAAGACAAAGCCCGGTGATTCCCATTGCCAAACCGCAGCAGGCCTGGCTTGCTCTGTGTGTTGTCCTACAGCCTTGGTCCCCACTCATGGCTACGYATGCAGAAGACACCCCCATTTCTGCAGAAGGTCTCAAAGGGAAGAGGGGTACTCTGCAAACAGCTCCACGTCGGGGAGCCAGGTCACGGGCAGCCAAGCAGAAAGTCACTGACTACAGACCTGAGTTTAGACAGGGGTGGAGGGGTCAGTTTTGGATGCCATCACAACACTGAGCTGCAGAGGCAGAGGCTGAAGGCGTCCTCTGACACCTGTRGTCATTCGGCAGGAAGGGTGGCTCACTGAGTGCAGAGCTGAGATCGCAGTTCTGGAGGCGTGAGGGATGAGTTCTGCCTCCCGCTGGCTCAGCCCACCCACATCTGGCCACCAGCTGGCTACCTGCAGCAGAGCTACAAGTCCAGGGACACCAAGTCCCTGCAGGAGGGTGGGGTCTGGTGGACTCTGGCCTGCCTTCCTGAGAGGCAGCAGGGACAACACCACCTGGGACTGAGGCCGGGCTCCACCCTGCTGAYCAGGGTCACGCCTTTGTTTCCTGCCTGTGATAGCCATCACCTGCCAGGCCTGTTCTGGGACCTAAGGGGACCCATGATCAAGGCTCTGCTATCATTCTGCCAAGCCACTCTCCACTGGGACCCTGCCTCAGGATCCCCCAAAGGATTCAAAAACAGGCAGTTGCTCAGGACCAGCCCCAAGGGAATATGGTCTAGTGGGTGTGCAGTGGTAGCTGTCGCACACAGCCTTGGTGGGAGCACTTGGGGCTGACCAGGGACACCACACACTGTGACCTCCACTGAGYGCTCGACACCCTACTCCAGAAACAYTGGGTGCCTGACCCACACCACTGTGCTGGTCCTTCCAGATGGCCACTTCCCCCGCAGCTCCCATTACTGGCTCCTCCAACTCGGGGGCATGAAGCCAATTGTCAGTCATCTTGCAATTTCACAGATGAAGAGAGCAAAGGTCATGTGGGGGGTCTGAAGAGTCYCCCCAAACCCCAAAGTAGTTTGTTCTCACAGAAGTTTTACACTCTATTAATTGTAGATAATTGAAATCTCCTCTATCATCTAGAATAATTTGCATAAAATCAATCATGCTCACATCTTCCATTTCCAAATAGCCACATAAAGATGAGAWGTTTTGCCCTAGGTCACACTGTCAGTGAAATTGGATCTACTAAGCTTCTACCCGTCTGCAATCTAAGATGTTCACCTCAGGTTACTGMGGCCGCTCTGCAGACAGGGTGAAARGACACGGGTGGAGGGGTCAAGCCTCTCTGACCTACCCCCACAGCTCTAACATGGGAGACCCTGGCCTTACGAGGTGGGCATCACAGGACACAAACCTCGGGTGAATGAGCAGCTTGTGATGTTCTCCSTAGGGCCTGACAGGCACCCAGAACCAGGTCAGCCTTTCTCCTTGGGGAGTCATGGGTTGGCACTAAACCTGTCTGCTCCACCACACACCATGTGCTAATGAACGTGAGCAGGAGTAACAGTCCCACAGGGTGGGCAAACTGGCCTTCCGCTCTGGATCTCCAAGGGCCCACAGGGTCTGTTGCCAGGATAATGACCCCTCCTTCTCACATGCTGAGCTCYGCCTCCAAGTCTAAGGCTGCATCACGAAGCCAGGTGTGGGGCCCAGGGCCAGCACCACAAGAGATGCCCCCTTCTCTCTTGGCGAGCCCATGTAGACCCTCCTGTCTCCGGGAGCCCAGGGCACACCTCTGCTATCTAGCCCCGATGGTTCTGGTGACACTCCCAGGGAGAAATCCGCCTTCCTCCCTCCCTCTTCTGCACACCATTATTTCCTGGGGGTTGGCCCCAAGGACAAATATTTGCAGACATCCAATTCTGTCCTGCCCCATGATGTGAAGGCCATGATGGCCCTGAGAGCGAGGTCCCCGATCTCCTGGCTCGTCACTCCTTGGAGGGGTTGGCCAWCCCCAGGGCAACTCAACATGTTCCTGTTCCAATTGTGTCCTGGGAGGCTCCCCCAGAGGGCAGGCGATGGCAGGACAGGAGGGCACCTCCACCTGCTGATGTCCCAGGATGCCCCGCAGGCCCCCTGTCCGTGTGCCTGTGTGAACTGAACACATGCATGTTTTCTTTCAAATCTGTTTTGGTAGAAAYTCCTGAACCAACTCCATAATCAACACAATTCAGATTCTGCTGAYGCCTTTTAGCATCAGAACTAAAATAATCAAAAACAAAAACAAAAAAGTTCATGTTATGATTAAATCCTGCAGGGAGGTTCCCAAGAAGTGTGCCATTTACCTTTAATTTAAAAGTGCTTGGACCTGAGTGTGSGAGCACTGGTCTGTTTCAACAGTGGCGGGGATTCTCACTGGGTACCCTCAGGGGCAGTCCCCGGCTCTTAGCCCTTTAATGGCTGGTTCTCAGACTCTCATCCAGAGTTTATGAACTTAAATAAATGGCTGAAATCCCTGGATTTGCCTCACCTTGGCCAGGGTGGCATAAGCAAGTCCAAGTATTCCATTCCATTTGATCCCAGGCAGAAAGAAATTCTCTGACTTGAAAATAGTGGCGACGTTGACAAGAAACGAACTATTGAAGCCCTTGGGGATGGTGACCACATCCTCCCCCACGAAGCCAGTCCAGCTGCCCTGTGTGTACTTCACAGTGACTTCGAAGCCCTTGAAGCGGTAGGTGCTGGACCTGCAGAAGGAAAAGAAAAGTCCACTGTATTCCGTGCACAGAGCCAGGTTCCCTGACCCACAGAGGAGAGGGTGGTCACTGTGGACAAGCAGCTGTCCCCGTCGCAGCCCACTGTAAGCAGYTCTTCATGATCAGGAGCGCCAGTGCTGACCAGGTGACCCTCCTCCCCAGACACCATCAGCTGCACTCTGATGACAGGGTGTGGTGCCACGTGGAAGGCGGGTCTGGGTTATCCTGTAGTCCTCAAGTGTCCTTCTCCTCTCCTCACCCCAACCCACGAATCCCTTCAGCCTCCAAGAACAGACCAGATCTGGGCACCTGCCTGGCCCACTGGCTTCGAAGGGACCCTGGAGGCTGCTCTGTGACACAGAGGTGCTGGCAGCCCATGAGGAGGCTCTACCAGCTCTTCCAGCAGTGACTGAGGCTCAGATTCACATGACCCAGGTGACAAAGACCAAGCCCCCTCTTGGGAGTCCAGGTCCTTCCTCTTCAGAGTCAGCATTGCCCCTGAAGTCACCAGCCCTTCTCAAGGCTCTCCTAACGCCTCAGAGCTGATTACACTCTTGTCTACATGGTGGCACGACCAAGAACCTGGGASTCATCTGAACCTGAGGACCACAGTTACTGACAATAACATGAACAGGGGCAGGCGATGGGCAAGACAGATGGCAATGMCGTCCTCTTCAGGATCAGCCAGTGATCCGCTCGGCATGTGAGCACAGAGCACTCCAGGTAGCATGAGAGTGACCTGGAGCTTTTTCCCAAGATGATGGGAAAGCCAGGGACTCCTGGTGAGAGAGGCCTCTCTGACACCAGGCACATACATGAGGACACGGAGTCCTGTAGCTCTCTTGGGGAGAAGAGAGTGGGCGTTAGAGTCCTAGGTGTCCAGCCCTGCAGTCCTTCTTGTATCCACATGAGTCTGAAAACTCTTGGGCTATAGGAAGGAACCCCAGGAATGACTYTGGGCAGATATCTGGACATTCAAGCCAGAAAATGACCAGGTTCCTAAGACAAGTGTCAAATCACCAAACCAACAGCCTTAGAGGGCTCTTCTTCCTGCAGTTCCACTCCACTCTGCTCCAATAAAAAGGCTGCACCACATCAACACAAGCTAACATGTCTTTATGTAGAAGCTAATGCAGTCTTGCTTGGGGTCAGGAAGAAGTTAAGTCAGAGATGACATGATTCTATATTTATGTATATTTATTTTTCATGTATCTTTTATGCTATACAAATGTCAACCATTTTTAAATATTTTTAGTTGTAGATGGACACAATCTCTTTATTTTATTTATTTATTTATTTTTATGGGGGTGCTGAGGATCGAACCCAGTGCCTCACACATGCTAGGCAAGTGCTCTACTACTGAGCCACAACCCCAGCCCAAATCATTTTTAATTTGTTAATCACAGTTCTGAGAATCTGACCCTGAGGATGTACTCAGGAAACGGAGACGGTCACAACGTTTTATTTATAATAGGAAACAAACCAAAGGCCTAGTAAAAAGGAAATAGTTCAATAAACTATGGTGTATTTGTAAGAGAGATTATTATGCAGCCATGAAAATATGGTTTTTCCTACCATTTAAGTGTCAGGGAAAAATTAAGTTGAAAGAAAAATTTGTTTCTGTGGCAAAATATTCAAAACTACTTATCACAGTCAAATATTAGCAGTGGCTGTCTCTGGGTAATGGGTTTGGTGGAGAGATGCCCRTTCTTGTCGTTGAATCCTTTGGCAACTTCTGCATGTGACTTTCAGAATCAGGAAAAAATGTTATTTTAAAAAATGTCTGGCAAAGAAATTTCAGTGCAGTTTAATTTATTCTCACTTTTATGATGGAGAATAAACTCTGACGGGTGTTGAATTTTAACATCAGCTTACCATTTGAGTTCCCTCCACTGTGGCCCTGACATAAGAGAAACACCTCCTGAGGAGGGGCAGGCACAGAGACAGAGGGTGAGGACAGCAGAGCTGGGCACCCTGAGTCCCGGCTGCCCCACCAGAAATCGCCATGGAAAGTGCAGTTGGACCTTTAGGTGTGAGTATCTGAGGATGGGTGCAGTGCCAAATTCCAGGGTTGGTGCAAATTCAGATGGGCCAGGCACACAGGAGGGCATGCACACAGTCATGTTCAATGCCAAGAAAAACTCTGAATTATTCAGTCCCTTTTGACACTTTGAGGTCATTCCTCAAGGTCAGGAACACCACTGCTGACACTTTGAAAGGCTTTGAGAGCACGGTTTAGAAAGGAGTTAGCCCACTTTGTCCATTGAAGAGCCCACAGAGAAACGTTGCAGGCTCTGCAYTGYACACGAGGCCCRTCACAGCTACTCAGCTCTGCCACCGTCACGTGGAAGCAGCCACGTGGTATGTGGAAATGGCTGTGTGGCTGGGTGCCAATAAAACTTTAGATTTATAAATGCATCGGCAGGTCAGGTTGGGCCCAACAGTGACAGTTTGCCAACCCCTGGGCTAGCATGTTAGTTATCGTCCCCAAACAGTCTCAATTGCGGTGGCCTCCTGGSAAAGGTGTCCTGTTTTTACTGCCTCTGGTCCGTAAACAACTCCTTGGGCTAGGAACCTGAGCCCTTCTGGACGCTGGGTATTAGGCGTGTCTTCTACAGTTTCCTGCCCAGATTGCTGGCCCCTGACATTGTTCTGGATATTTCAGTGTCATTTGTGGAAAGGGAGTGGCAGCTAGTTACAGCGCCTGGGTTCAGGTACAAGTTCAACCCCCCACCAGCCTCCAGACCTGGGCCAACTCTTCAACCTCTCTGTGCTTCAGATTCCTCAACTGAAACATGGGGTCCTCCTATCAGACCCCCTGGGGTTAATTATGTGGATTACAAGAGTTAACACCACGCAGCATTTAGAAAAAAAAACCCAGAACATGACAGGTACGTAACCAAAATAGCTGCTATTATTATAATTATCTAATCACTTGCTACCTTCTCCAATCTATGAGCTACTATTAGAAAATTCAAGAATTTTTTTCTAGAAAATGTTCCTACAGAACTACTAATACTGAGGACCCCGAATTWTCTCATTCTAGGTTCCAATAACCTCATGGGAAGGGGCAGCTCTTGCCCATAGGGGGCCTGGCTTTGCTAAGGAGGTTGGGGTGGKGGAGGAGCGGTCATCCCCCTGAGCAACAGGCTTCTCAGGGGGTGAGTCCCTCTGTGCTCTGCACCAGTGCCAGAACCGGCGGTGGTGACAGTGACGTTCTGCTTTGCCACTGCCCAACATGGGCAAGAGCTTGAAACTTGAAATGTGACAATAGTGTGACTGAAGAACTGAGCCTTTGTTTCATTGAGCGTTAAWGAATTTAAGCTTAAATGGTTACATGTGATCACTGGGTACTCTTGCAGAAACAYAATTCGAGGTAATGTGAGAAAGAAGAGTAGTTCTAAGCCCTTCTCTCTGGGTTTCTTTMACTAAACCTCAAAGAATGGAGTCCTGGAGAAGAATCATAAGCAGCTCTATGGATYATTAGCATAGGATTTCCAGAACTTTAAATTAAAYGAAAAATTCTTCTACCTTMATTTTCTAACATCCTAATTCTTGGCACTGAATGGCCAACTGCTCTGTTCATTAATTAAATATACCCAGAGAGAACGCCGGGTGGGCTTCTCATATGTAAGGTCCATTCCAGTGCTCAGAAATAACAATCTGTCAGGGACAATCTGTGGGTGGCAGGAAAAAGTCCAGTCACAGCAACAAACACACTTTGAACCAAACTCAGAAGACAGTCTGCCTCCAAGAAGAGAGCTCAGGGGACTCAGGATTAAAAAGCAAGGTCAGTCCAAGAGGAGCGCAGAGCCATAGAGCGTCTTATTGTTTTAAATGAWGCCCACCAATGCTTCCAGAAAACAGAAAAGAGAAGCCGGAAGGGCAGACTCAAGGCAGCTGAATCCTTGGGCGGCTCTGGGTCCCCTACAYCAGGGAACGCTGGGTCTCCTGAAGAATTCTGCCTGAGCCTCCCTGGGGTTCTCCTGAATCCACCTGTGGGCGGGGTGGCCTGGCCCAGATGACCAGAGGTCCCTCGCTCTCTTCTGTAAGTCTGGAAGTTACCAGAAGGAACAGATGGAACCCGTGAGGTTCAGGGCAGCTCAGCAAGCCTGCCCAGCCTCGTGGGTCCCCAACAGCCCCTCAGCAGTGACCACTCCTCACAGGCCTCTRATAGAGCCAGTCCCTCCAGGAAAGCACAGGCGTAGGAAAGCACCTAAATAATCAGGCAAACAGATCTGTCACTGTTACAGGGAAAGGCATTTGATCCGTGTCCAGTCTGGCCTCTGTAGAGAAGGCACCAGGTGCATCTTCAGTCCCCGAATCCCACTTCCAGGCATCAATTACAGAGAACAGTTGGCTCCTCACTACACCCTCTCTGTGGGCTTTGCTTACATGCAGCCCAGGAGCCAGGACATTTTAATGGGAATATATACTTAATTTCCTGACCAAATCAGTAGAGGGTCGAGGGGTGTGTATATTGGCTTTCCCTCAAGCCAACGGGCCAGAGGCTGTTTTATTGGCTTAAAAAAAAGTACATTAAAAAAAAAAAAACATACACAATTCTTTCCCCACTGCATAGTCATCCACTGGAGCACTCRCGACCGTGGAAGAAGTTCTGTCGGAGACTAGCTATGCCAATGACTCACGGCAGCCCGACCTCTCATCCCATAAATCAAAGCCACCTTGCCCAAAGCGCCAAGCCAAACCTCCAATTACTGTAGAGTGCTTCAGGAGACATTGAACCTGCATGCCCAGAGACTGGGGACTTGAATCAGAGGCTCAAACCCAACCAGAAACCCTATGACAGCTGACATCAGAGGCCCAGGCTCACACTGAAACCTCACAGCGCGGGGGGCCACATTTCAGAAAAGACTCCTTTGTCCAACACGCAGAAGGGAAGAGAACACTCTCCGTGCTCCCGCTGAAGAAGGGCTGAAGGTGCACCGTAGGCCCAGGCCAAAGTCGGGGGGAAGCATCGGACATGCTAGCCTCACAGCAAGTCATCGAGAGAAAACACCGGGATCTTGAAATAATGGACCTGTGTCGGCCACACGCCTCCCAGAAGCTTGGAAAAAGAGAAGGCGAGGTTAACACGAGCCCCAGAGGGGACTGACCTGCAAGGCCAGCCTGGGACAGGCATGTGGCCTGGGGCACAGAGCCCACCAAAGGTCACAAGTGTGAAGCTTCATGTCTGACTCGGCCGAGAAAAGAAGTGGCCTTCGAGCCCTGCTGAGGAGCCGTCTCCTGAAAAGAGGCAGGACCRGGGCAGGAGGCCTGGCCGCAGTGCAGCTTTGAACAAGCAAACTCAGCAGGACCTGCTGGCAGGCAGTGGCCATGGGCCAAAGTGACCACTGGGGCAGTCCAGGGCTCTCCCTGGACATGGGTGTGTCCTTATTCTGTTTTTATCTACTCACAAGAGGAGAAGCAGATCAGAAACTGGAGTGGTCAGAGAGCTGAGGGCAGGTCTGTGTCCTCTGGTGGGATGAGCAGGAGGCTCGGCCATGCAGGGAGCTGTGTGCACCTCAGGAGTTTGCTCCAAGTCAGGGGCAGATGGCCAGAGAAGCCCAGCCTTTAGGTGGGGTAAAGGGACCCATCTGCCACCTGAACACCAGGCTGGCTATGTGCACGAAATCCACTTGGACCAGCCAACAGGGAGGTTAGACAGATGTGGCCTCCTGGGGCCTGATGGGAACAAAGAGCACAGCAGAGCCCAGGGGAAGGACGCCCGGTGGTGTGGTTGATTAACCATGGCTCATGTATGGAGGGCGGTGCGTGGTTTGGCGGTGGTGGCTGTTATTTACCCCTGGGTGGAGGCATTGGCACAGGGCCTGGGTGGAGAAGCCCATCTGACTTCTGTGGAGCTGGCAATTGTCAGCTGCCAAAGAACCCCATCTACCTACAGTCTAGAAGTGACCACCACTGTGTGAAGTCTGCACRTTTAAACCCGGAAGTGACCGTGCACACTACCCCGACCTGGCTCTCCGGTCTCTCTACTGTGACTAATGTCAACAGATGTATGATAAGGAATGAACTTATTTGGGATGTGAACCTGCTTGGGCTTGTTCCTCCTGCCTCCGTGTCCTGAGCACCCCACCCAGGGGAACCCAAGTSAGTGTACAGAACAGACCAAAACCTGCTCAGAATGGACACAGGGCTGGACAACTTTGTCACCAGGAGCAGTTCTCAGTGAGGAGGACACCATCCCCTGTGGGAGAGTGGTGGAAACTCTGGGGGCATTTTTGGCCACTGGTGGGCCAGCATCAGGCACAATGGCTATCCTAGAAGCCCTTGTCCCTCATCCCTGTCCACRTTCTGAGCCCCTCTGGGCATGCACATTGGTGAAACCCCACCTGAGCCCCAGATGTGCCTCCCTTTCACATACACACTGAGTATTTTCTATGTGGGTTTTAACAGAAGTTGGATATTAACTGCTATGTAAATAAGATGGCAGGTGATAACTTTTTCTTTGAATTTCACCAGGATTCTTCACCACGTAAGAAACAACRTCAACAACCCAAGCTGCGCTGCGGGTTGGAGTCTTACTCAATCAACCCTGGTCCGTCTACACTGGGTGATACGCAGCAACAGTGGTCCCCGCACAGCCTCCAGGCCCTGCCCTCATGGTTTCCTAGTGTGCTCGAACCACAGGTCACCTTCAGAGACAATGACTACCTTACGACACATCCCTTTCCTTCCTTCCACCCGCACAGGTGTTTATTTCCTGAAATAAAATAAAGCTACTGGTGTCTTGGATTTTGGAATGTTCACATACCCACAATGAGCTACCTCAGGAATGGGAATCAACTATAAAAGCAAAGTTCATTTATTTGCACCTTGGACATGTAGCCTGAGAGTCATTTTATACAGTATTTCTGGTGCACCTGTTTTGACCATGACCTGTCACCTGAGTCCAGGAGTGGACGTTTCCACCTGTAGCATCATGTCAGTGCTCAAGAACCTGGTGGACTTTGGAGCATGCCAGATTTTGGACTAGGAGTGTTCCACGTGTGAGCTCCATAGGGCCATTCAGAATTATGTACGTAGGTTAAATTATATTTCCTGTTGCTTTCATTTGGGGTGACACAAAGCACTCGTCACGAGGAGGGTGTGGGGTGGAAGGCCCGGGCCTGCTGGGCAGAATCAGGAAGGTGGGTGGGCTGCTGCCTACTTGACTTCCCAGGCTATGTGGATAAACATGGGAGGTTTGGAGCAACCTGGCGTCCCGTCCCATGACGGGGCCACCCAGAGTGAGCAGCTGGAGGTGGTAGCTGTTTGTGGGCAGAGGACTTGGATGAACCTGCGTCTGAAYGGGAAAGGACAGCCATGGCCCCTTTCGCACCGAGGAACACCACCCACTTCTACGCGTGTTCGTGGTTACAGCACAACTTCTGGCACACGCTGATCTTCTCGTTCCCCAGGCCATCACGGGCCAGCTAGTGTACCCTAGGAAATCTTACAATATGTGGAGAYGCGTGCTGCGTTCTAAGTTCCTTGAGGGAGGGGTGCCACTTTGTTCTGTGGCTCTGTGGGGCTCYGCATGCACTGGCCACCACTCCCCCTACAGCCAGCAGCTGCAGCTGCACACCCAGGTCACTGCGCCATTTCTGCCCCACAGGGGAGCCGCAGCGCAGCCACACAGGACTGTTCTGGGGGCATTTTCTTTCCCACGCCGAAGTCTCACTTTATTAAGTCACCAGGGTCCTCAGAAACCTCGAGCTCTTATTTCCCTGTTTTCTGGCAGCTAAATCTGGGCTTTAGTCCTCGGAATAAAGACTGTGGATAAGGAAAGTGAGAGGGGCAGAGACGCCAAGGGTCCGCCGTCGGGAATCCCGCCAGCAGTTCTCAGGCTATGGGAGTTCGTGACCCTAAGAAGAAAGCCCTTGCATGTCKGCAGGCTTGCTCCACCTGCTCCCTTTGAGCTTCACAAAAACTGACGTGAAGTCCAAATGTGGACAGCATTAGAGCAGCTTCAAGTGCCCAGAGGACGGGACTCCAGATCCAGGGCTCTTGCAGAACTGGAGGGTGACATGAGGCCACTGGGTACCCTCCCTGCACCCACTCAGAGGTCCTCTGGAGCCAGTAGTCCTGGCCCCTGCACTGGGCACAGCTTGCTATTCCAGAGACCTCCACCCTTCTCACAAGTCCATCCCATAGCTGCCCTGTGGAGCCCCTCAGTGCTTAGTGCTTACTGCTTAGGTCATGTGCTTTGTGCTCAGCACCCTCACTCTTTCCAAATRAGCCACTGACTTCTTTCCCCAGATACCTCCCCACAGCGATGTTCCTGTGAACTGTGCCCTAACCGTTCTGAACGACGGGGCAATGCAGAGCTGGCTTTGCATGCTTACCCCTGCCTAGAACGGCCCCTGCCTGGAATGGCCACACTCTCACATGGTGCTCCTCTGCCCACACCTCCCCACGCACACTGACGGCTCACAAGCTCTGTGCTCCTGTGTAAGTGCAGAAGTTGTTTCACTTGACAATGCATAAGGTGACCCTCCTGTGGATGCACMGAGGCTACGTAAGGGGGATTGTGTGATGGATTCCCCTGAAGAGAAACACGCACATACATACGTGTGCATCTACACGTATACATGCATGTTCAGGTACACATTCAGACACAAGCACAGATGACGAGTGTGCGTGTGTACACATACATGCACACACACACCCTGAAAGTGAGTCAGTCTTCTGGCTGGTTTGTTCCAGTATATTCTACATGCCGATTCATGTGGTGTCCCCACCCAGCCAGGCCCGCTCTGGACCCACCGCTTACCTCTCTGCGTCAAAGTAGGTGTCTACGTAGGAATGGGGGGCACCTGCCACGGCGAAGTTACTGCTTCCAGTGTCGACGAGAATCTGTAGCTTTTATTTTTTTAAGGAGACAAAATAGAAAGTATCATAAGGCAAAAGCTTGTACTGACTGGGGAGGCTGTTGTAAACCGAATCAGACAGAGTCCATGAAGAAGCCTGCAGCAAGGAGCGGCCTCCTCAGGCACACACAGCCTGGGAAACAGCCCTGCAGCCGCTGCATCTCCCTTCAGGCTGCTGGGACTGGCTAACAAGGCCGAGCCTCCGCCAGCCCCCAGCCCCAGCTYGTGCCCTGGTTCCCTGGCTGGGACACCCTCTTCCTGCCTTCCCARATCTCTGGGAAAACCAGATCCAACATGGCCTCTCTCCTCAGCAGCCTCTTACTGGCCCCCTCGCCCCTCCGCAGATGTCCCCTGCAGAGCGCCCAGGGACATCTGCCCCAGTCCTGCTTTTGTAGCTTGATTACAGTATAATTTCTGTACAATAAAAATGCAAGATCTGAAATGCGTGTGAGACTATGGCCATACCACCCTGAAGGTGCCCAATCTCGCCTGAAATGCTCCGTGAGGGCTGCCACAGTATGTCCTCAAACCAAGATGCAGAACTTCTGTTGTCCCTGAAAGGTCCCCTTGGCACCYCTTCCCCAGAAGCTGCCACGCACGTTCTGACTTCTATTACCATGGAACGGCTTCAGGCGCTCCTGAAGGTTCTGTGAGGGCAACGGGGAGGTGCTGGGTTTGCTCTCTTGCTGGGGTCTTTGTTCTTGGAGTCTCCACGGCGGAGGGGCGTTCCTCCACGTGCGCGGCAGTGGGTCTGCTTCTCTAGATGGGGTTGGCTGGTCTCCAGTTGAAGGCTGGTGTGGGTGAGGCTGCTGTGGATGCTCCTGGAAGTCTTTGGACAGATGCTTCCATTTCTCTTAGGTAAATACCCAGGACTGAAACCTACTGGGTCACAGGGTCAAGATGCCTTTCTAGTGTTTTCTAAATCAACTGCTGAGCAGCTCTCCAACACAGACATACCAAGATGCACTCTCGTGGCAATGCGCCAGGGTCCACTCTGCTTATTTGCTCCATATCCTCCCCTAAATCTGGTGTGGGTGGCCTTTGTTTTTGCCACCAGTGGAGACAGTGGCGTCTTGCTGAGGCTTCCTGCACCTCCCCAGTGACCAATTCTGTTGACCTGCTGCCTGTCCACGGTTTGGCCCATGTTCCCAGTCAACAATGGCAYGAGGGGAGGAAGGGTGGGTTGCCCCTCTTTATGCCCAGCACTATCCCAAGTGCAGACACATGGCCAGCTGTTTAGAGAGTGAACAAAGCCTCTAGAACACAGGGTAGGTAGATGAAGCCCAAAGGCTGAACATCAAGTTTAAACAGCTAGAGACAGGAAACAGAACAGGCGAGCTTCTGTCCAGCACTATCTCATGGACAGACTGCTGCCTTGGCCAATACCCTCAGTTTTGCTAAGTCTAGAACTTTCTATGCCCCCAACCCTCACTTATTCGACCCAGCCACAGAGTTTGGCTCAGGTTCAACCCCTCCTCCTGGAAATTCCTCCTTCCCCTTGGACTCTGGAACTCCAGCCTTCCTGAATTCTCCTCCTGCTTCTGCGACTCCCCACGCCCCTGCTGCTGGATGGACTTGCCCAGGGCTCAGCCTGGCATGGCTTCTGCCCTCTAGACTCACACCCTCGTGTYTGTAAAGGCCTCCTCTCACCCCTGAGCCCCAGGCTCACAGCTAGCCCGTTCCTGGCCCCGGACTCCAGGCTTCACCRGCCCAACACCTGCATTTGGTGTTTCACGGCCTTCCGGTGTTGAAACCCCAACCTCACACCCTGAGCGGACGTTGTCRGGAAACAGGGTCTTCCCGGAGCTGGTCGAGTTAAGGTAGCATCCCTAGGGTGRCCATCCAGTCGGACTGCAGGGAGGGGAAGGCCCATGGAAAGACAGAAACACGCAGGAGCTGCATGTGACAATTGAGGCAGGGGTTAGGGCTGCACAGCCCCAGGACACTAGGACTCACAGCCACCACCAGAAGCTGGAAGAGGCAGGGCAGGCTTCTCCAGGGCCTCAGAGGGAGTGAGGTCCAAAGGAGCACCAAACAAATCTGCATTCATGGTTTCCCTTGGTAGCTGGGGCATTGCCTCCAGGACAACCTGCAGGTACCAAACTCCAAGGAAGCTCAAGTCCCATATATAAAGTGGGGGAAGCCACACACATCTTCCTGCATGTTCTAAATACAGATTAAATGACATATTAGACRACTTATAATACCCAGCAGGATGTGAATGCATGCAAAGAGTTGTTAAACTGCACCGTGTAGGGAACAACGACAGAGCRTCTGCACATATTCAGTACTCTTTTTTTAAATATTTTTGATCCCTGGTGGTTTGAATCCTCGGATGTGGAACCTAGAAATGCAAAGGGCTGAACTGAACTTGGAGTTTGGTGGAGAGGAACTGGTGGATGCTAAGAAATCATGTTATGTATTTTAATCATCAATCAGAGGTTAAAACAAGTGGGTGCGCTGGACCTCATGGTGCACGCCTATAATCCCAGTGGCTCAGGAGGCTGAGGCAAGAGGATCACAAGTTCAAGGCCAGACTTGGCAACTTAACGAGGCCMTGAGCAACTTAGTGAGACCCTGTCTCAAAATAAAAAACAAAAAGGTCTGGGGATGTAGCTCAGTGGGTACAAAATAAACAACAACAATAACAAAAACAAGTGAAGGAGACCCATCTGTAGCTCAGTCTCACTGAACAAATCCCTCCTGTAGGGCCAGGTTCCCTTTCCTTCCTGTTCATAAATACTAAATCTCTAGGGGCTGGGGATATAGCTCAGTTGTCTCCCATGCACAAGGCCCTGGGTTCAATCCCCAGCACCACACACACACACACACACACACACACACACACACAGAGACAAGACTAAATTTTCAGAGGCTCACCTCCAGGCATGTCAGACTTGCTGGGCAGTTTTTAATCCCTTCATCTTTTAAGAGGTGGTTGACTCCACACCCACCCAACCAGACACATTTTTCTTAACCCTATCATTTCCTGTATCTCAGTTTCTGTTTTAATGTTTCTTACTTTATTGTTATTTTTTAAATCTTTACTTTGGAATTCCCTGGTTTTTAAGAATTCTTGTAGTTTTGCAAGCTCTGTATCCATTTTAACTCGTTTTTTGTCTTACAACTTTACCTGATGCCTTTAACCTCTTGTCTTGATTTCACAACTTAGCATGTCTCTGTGGGCTCCCCACTCTGAGATCTGACAAAATTGGCACACAGCTAAGCCCGTGACGGTGGGTGTTGTAAGATAAGGAGGGACGGGGCACGCGCTGGCTCACACCCTGTTTGTTCTTCTGGGCGGTGCATTTGAGCGCTCCTGCTTTTACCTGTCTGGCATTTTACCCTCCTCTGTCTGCCTGCCTTGTCTTCCTTGGCCCTCCTAGATGGCCGTGGATCTCTGCCCCAGGCGCCTCTCCACKGCTCACGCTGCTGTTTGCGCCCTCTCAAGAGTTGCTTGTGACAATCACCTTTCCCACCGCTGCTCAGTGGTCACAGCAGTYGCAGGCCCAGGCTGGCTCCCCCAGGTCCCTCGTGGGAGCTTCTGCTGGGTGTCCTGTGCCCCCCCAAGATAGCCATCTTCTCCTGTCCCTTCCTATTTGGGACACAGCGCCAAGACTCTTACACTTGAAGAAGGGTTGCCTGGGCTCTACACGCCTGAGTCACGTGCTCCTCTGAACAGCATATATATGTTTCTCTAGTGTCTTCAACACCAAGCACTTGAGGGAAATCTGAGGACTGTCTTATTCTTTCCTTTTCCCCTGGCGCCTGGAGATTGCTTCCTTGGCCTTGCAGCTCCACGGTATCCGTCCGACTTCCCACTGGTTGGCGGATTCAACTTTCCCGGACAAAGGGGCTCAACTTTCCCATTGGTCTTCTAGGGCTGCCGTAGCACAATCTGCCRGGGCGTCATAAAACAACACACGCCTACTCTCTCCAGGTTCTGGAGGGGAGAAGTCCAAACTCTAGGTGTCGGCAGGGCTGAGAGCCCCAGAAATGCTCTAAGGAGGGGGTCCCTCCTGCCTCATCTGGCTTCCAGCTTGACCAGCAACCCTTGGCATCCCGTTCACTCTGCGCTGACAGATGCCGTAAATGGATGTGGACACCTGTCAGTGCGTCATACTGTCCATCTTCGAGGTGGGCCTGTCTCTGAGCCTCCTCACCGCCTGCAGAGCTGGCTTCCATGACTCCTTTGTAGCCAGCTCAGGGTGACTCAGGAGCTGAGGCCACATGTGTGGTCCATGCGGAAGARTGAGGCCTGGGGTCTTACCATTGCAATGGGTTCCAAAGCACCCTGTCTAGTGCCAAGGCTACTGCCTGACCAGCAGACACCAGTGGGCGCTGACACGGACTGACACACTCACRTCACATGGCCCTGTGTCCTCCTCCTCCTGTCCACGTCCTGAGTGTAAATGTTTCCTGGGGGCAAGATGAGCCTTGAAGCTGTGGGGTGAAGGGGTYTGGGAGGGTGAAGACCCACAGAGCCCTGAACCACTTGGGATCCCTTCCTGGGGCCAATCCAGGAGTCCCAGCTTTCAAGAGGGCAGTGTGCCTGCGAGGCAAGGGGTGTCGCCACCTCAAGGTTGACTCCTGCACACGGTGGCAGAGATTTTTCTTGGTCATTAAAGCCACAGATAATAAAAGCTCTGGGATCTTGAACAGGAGCAGCTGTCCCCCAGGCCTGCTGTCAGTCTCAGAAGCATGCCATGTCACCYGCGTTTCCCGGGTCTCTCTGGCAACCTCGCACCCAGCAGCTGCAAGACGCAGGCGAAATGCCAGCCTGGCCCGGCCACCCTGCGCCCGCGGGCTCTGCCAGGCAGACGGGCATTCCACGTCCACCCTGGCGGCTCCCACACCCCAGGCCTGGCTGAGGCGGCAGCAAGACTATTGTCCTCCATACAATAGTCACGGTGGCCGGGAGCTTTCTGGGCAGACGTTYCGCCCTGCTCTCCTGGGTCTGGAATTCCTGCCTCCCACCTCATAARCAGGCTT